CTTTATTAAAAGCTGTTTTAACAAGTCAACTATGTATGAGTACTCAGCTCAACTTCAGATGTGTCAACAAAATGAGATAATGATAGAAGGTTAATCGAGCCTGCAGTTCCTCAGCTGTTCAACATGGTTTTTCTTTTATAAGAAACTATTATTCGTCTCTTAATAATAACTTTAATCAAAACATATTTAATTGATAAGGTCAGTATTCTGACAAATATACAGGATCAAACTATTAAAGAAACCGCCGTTAGCACATTACTCTAAATGATTAAAGGGTTACTCATAAAATGCCTAAAATTAAGAAGAAAGTATTCAAAATCGCTATGTGTTGTAATAACCTGTCGTAGCTTCACTTCACATATACTCTCATTTAGTGTTATTCTTACTACGATGATACAAACGTTACTCAACAGATTTTTGCCTCAGTGTTTATCTTACCGCCGAGATTGCATCATGCTGCTACTTAGGCTGTGTAGAATAAGTTAATGCTTTATTTCAAAGATTTTATATTGTTACTAAGTCATCTTGCTTGTATGTAATATAATTAGACATAGAAAACACCAGTTAACCTCCGTCTAACATTTAACCATTCCATCAAGTTGGCTTTACCATCCACCACTTAAAACATAAATTTCTCTTTATCAGTTGAACAAAAAATTATCAATAGCTAGCTATACAAAGCGACTGATAACAGTACATTCTTCTATCAGCCATACCAGCTTTCATAAAAGGTTTTTTCTAATATATTTCACCTACTCTCTCTTAAGAAAAGGCTTAGATTTTATAATACCACATGATGGTGTGAGCCTATAGCTGTATTATACTATCCACTAAGAGCACTTTCTAAATTGACCACCTTTTCTTTGCGTTTACAAAATAACGTAATGACTAAAAGGAACGTTGGATACACTAAACAATAACCATCTTAGTAAAGAAAGGCTCACAGAATTAAAGATGAAGCATAAAAGAACTGAAGCAAACACAGGAAAAATGTGTTCATAAGCTGCCAAATATATACGGAACACTCAGTCACGGATAGTTTATACACCAAATCAACATTTTTATATATATATACTTATAAACTATCCGTGACTGAGTGTTCCGTATATATATAAAAATGTTGATTAGGTGCAGATCATCAGATTCCTAGTCAACTGCCCTAATCACCTGGCCATCCCGGGGTAAGAGAAAAATAATAATATGTAAAATGATGCAATTGTGCAGCTCGATTAAAACCTAACCAAACCGATCTAATTTAATGCATTATGCACTTACCTTAGTCTAAAGCGACAGTTACAAAGTTCTCAATTTGTTGAGCAAATCTAGCAAAAGAAAACAAAAAATCATGCAGACTGAACCTGTGGGTTATCTTTTCTCGGTCGTAAATTTTGTTACAAATCACCAGTTCCGTAATATAAAGCTGTAAAAATCTAATACGTTTATTTATATGAGCCGAGGCGAGCACGAACAAATATTAATTTGTAATTATAGCGAGACATAGTATTTTCTAAAATACGGGAGGTTCGAGTAGACTTAAGAAGAAAAAAAAACATATTTCTTAAATGCAATCAATATGCAAAATTCAACTGTTAGTGTGTTTTTGTTGTTTTGAAGTACGGAAAGTATGAGTAAAAGAACATATATAGTATAGTTTCTACACTGTGTTTAAGATTCAGATTCGGGCCAGCTTTGCAATGCATTTTTGGTTCTTCAACTGACAATATTTACTCAAAACTTAATGTAAGTTTGGAATAACTTAAGTGACCTCATAATCTCATGTATATGTACTCTTAACTACAAAGGGTATTTTCGGTTAACTGTTTGTTTGTGTGAAGTTAAGCACAAAACTACACAATGGAGTATCTGTGCACTGCCCACCACGGGTATGGAAACCCGGTTTCTAGCACTGTAAGTCCGCAGACATACCGCTGTGCCACTGAAGGGCATTGTGTTAAATATAAAATTAAAGAATGGTATAAAAGAACATTTTACTTAGTTGTTAATACTTCAACCAATTAAATTATTTTTATGAGCTGGCACTAATATTTATTGATATGTGTATATAGATAAATATCCATTTTCATTTTACAAAAAAAAAATGCTCAGGGGAAATGTTTTTAAGATTTATCAATACGTTAATTACATTTAACGAAATCAGACTGCTTCACCCCCACCCACCCCCATTTTACATGCCGTGTGTATGTATGGAGACGTAGAAACACAATAAAATACAGTGAAATATAAACTCGCGATTATATTTCTGAGCAACTTTTCAACTGTTACTTTATTTTGATACATTTAATACTTGAACAACATCACTTTCAATCTCCTATTTCGCTTTTTTTTTCTCCTCTTCTAGTTCTTGCTCTGACACTTTCATATTTTTTAATATTTGGACATTGTTTATTATTTTCCAATCTATTCTCCCCTCTCTTTGTCTTTTTTTTGTAATTTCAAATTTGTCTGTTTTTCATTTTTATATTAACAGTATTTCTTAGATACCTAGGCCGCCTGCCTGTCTCTTCATGTTATTCATCCAGTCTACACTCCTCTTCTATATAAACACAGAAAATTAAGAAGGTGTATAATAACTTCCCTTCTCTAAAATAAAATATTATCTATATAGGTTATAACTTATACTTCACAGTTCCAGCACTGCAATTTGTGTATACTGTCTCAGAAAATTATTCCAAACTAATTTAAATAAATTTATGACTTCAGAGACCAAGTGACACAGCAGTGAACTTTGTAATACTAATCTGTGAAACGGCCAGAGTTTTAACTTTTGTTCGAAGATATTATTCTGGTTCAGTGTGTAAAATTAAGGGGAAACATCCTCAAATATCAAAGAAGTAATGATTCAAAGTATACGCAAAGATACTGCTCCCGTATTCTAAAATAACAAAGTAAATCCGTTAACGTTATTATAATAGAATTGCACAGATGCGATTGTTACAATGTATGATTTTCTACAAATGTGACGAGACAGAGTCACGGATTTTTTATTCTTTACTAGAGGTTTGTTTTGTTTGTTTGATATTAAGCACAAAGCTACACAATGGGCTATTTGTGCTCTGCCCATCACGGGTATCGAAACCCGATTTCTAGCGTTGTAAGTCCGCAGACATACCGCTGTGCCACTGTGGGCTATTACTAGAGGGGGCAAATGCTAGGTTCTTGCTTTGGAGATATTCGCTTATTTTTTTAATTAATATTACATGTTATAACATGTACACTAAAATTATTTCAAAGGTTTTTGCGCAGTATATTAGAAAACAACGAAAGTGTAGTGACTGCATAAAGCGATGAATCAAATTATACTATTTTGTAAAATATGTATAAATTGTGCTGTCAGAAATGTCTACTTGGAAACGTGCAGATCTAAAATTTGAACCGAAAATAAAATAAACTACACAGTTACTGCACACTAGTGCGTCAAACAATAATTTCTACTTCCTTATTCTCTGCCAAAAAGCAAAAGTAGCGTTGTTTTCACTTTTCTTCTACTATCAAATTATAATGGCCTGTAATAAAAAGAGCTAGATTTGATAAAGAAAACCGCAACACGCTTTCATAATTTCACGACGCTACAGGCACGGTTAAAACTGGAAACGAACTGAAATGATTCTGTACTACCCTAACAAACGATATTAGATACTCCGTTCTGCTTGAACATATTTTACTAGCCTATCTAATTATTCCGAATATCTGAAACGTGTTAATGGTAATATCAAGCTTTACGAATATCTAATTAAAACGTTTTTCAGTTGTTTTTGTTTCATTGCACTGCCTTCAGCATGCTAAATCCAGGTTTTTAAATACATTTATGTTTAAAGTACTCTCGACAAAAAATATATAATATACCTTTTTTGGTAAAAATATGACACCACTTAGTTTCATGCACTCGGAAATTTTCTTACGTGTATTATTATGTTTCTTGAAAACTTAGAGCTGCCCTAAAAAACTGTAGCGGTTTAAAAACATTTCATTTACAATAAGAAATAAGTATATGATAAATATTCCTTTTTTGTTACCATTTAACAATGTTTAGTTTCAGAGAAAGTAAACCAATATTCAACAAATCTTAAAACAAAAACTGTTAAGTAATGATTTACCTGTGGAAATGCATGTCTTAAATATAAATGTCAAATAAGTTCATTCATACACGTAGAGTAGGTTAACTCTTTAAATCTCTCTCTATAAATGAGTAAAATACTATGCGCTGTTTTATTACTCATAATTTAATACTATAAGATATAGTGTGTATCTTTCTGTCTGTCTCTCGGTCACGCACTGATGTCATGGCAACTTATCACTGAATTTAAGTAGTTTGGTTTCCTGTCAATTAGAAGCGAGAAGTCTAGGATTGATCGAAAAGTACAGATATATTTCGACTAAAATGTACAAAAAATGCACCTTTTTTCACAATTTCAAAACGTATATTTGTTAAATCGTCAAGTTACGCCAGAAGACGTTTTCCAATCTAAAAAAAAAAATGGCCTTCCCGAACGAAGAAGTCGAGCTTACGATAGAATTTAGATTTGACAGCCATTTGCCTAAATCGGTCACTCACTGATGAAATATAGATAGGACCAGAAGAGTATATGATAGACTCAAGACTGCAGAATAAATACAGAACCATTTTTGAAGTTTAATAACGGAAACAGCAGCAGCAAGAAACAGAAGATTGTCTCGAGAACTAGAAGGCTCTTTATTTTTCTTATGTCTGTTTACGAGCGACAAAGTTTCAAATGCATTTTGGAGGATTCAAATATGGTAGACTTTGGTTTCACGTCATTTTTGCCGGGGTTTTATATTAGTCCTTAATAAGACTTCGCGCAAAACACGTTTTGAATATCACTAATTATAGATGACTCGTTTAGATTTACTTTGTATGAGTAACCCAATAAAACCCCACGCTAAAACAGCTTATCACCCATTACAGTGAATTCGTGCTCGGTATTTAAGATCAAAATAAAACTAGCCACGAAAACATTTACCTTTGTCTGAATGTTTGTTTGAAATATTTTCCTCTGTGTGCTGACTTCGTTCCTTGACGATATCGACGGACGCTGCTGTACTTAGACTTCCCCCGCACATGTAGTTTACCCGTGATGACAATGACCACTGCAGAGAAACAAACCTTACAACATCGGAGCCGGCGCAAACCCCACTACAGTCATTGTTCCCACTTACAGTGAATAAATAAAGAAAAGGTTTTATTTTGGAGAGCCTGGGTACAGGTTATACTGTTGCTCACTGTTCAACAATAAATTACAGGAATCACAAGCTTCCGTGAGACAAGAAACACAGCTGTTGTTGTGGATCACCTGCCACTGCAGAGTCTCGAGTTCTTCCTAACTATCGATGACGAAAAGACGCACAGGTGCGGCTTTAGCTAGGCAGAAAAACTGATAGATGATTAGCAGGACCTCTCTCGGCCAAAATATGAACTATATTCTTAGATTATCGACATTTTTCAAATTAATGTAAACACACACGTACAAATACTTTCGATTACTTATGTGACTGAAGTATTATCATAAAGCGTGAAACGTTCCTAGAAAATACATACTAGGGAACGCAGTTTTCTGGTTAAGCATACAACTATAGTAAATCTTCAAAATACTAATTAATTCCACTCTTTAAAGTTTTGCAAACATTTAAACAAAATTACGGTTAACCATTTGCACAAGTCATAAAAAATGAAATGTTTGTGTAACAATTGTCCTACACATTTAAAATGGGGGTATTCCAGATTCACATATAATTAGATTAGAAATACAACATTTATGGAGATAGTTCTGCTCTAAAATATACAAAGAAATCTAAAACTTTTATTGGTTAAAAAACAAACTTTTTTTTTAATTGAGAAAGGTATTATAATTCTGTTTTGGAATTACGAAAGTTACTTGTGTAAGTCAGGCTTGACCGTAACACGAATAATTAAAACTAATAATTGAACATAACATCGTGGTCTTCATAAATGAACCCAAACCGTGAATCTAGAATAAAGAACCTGTATAGCTTTATTTCGCAACAAACGCGGAATCGTACAACATTCAATCACGAATCAACAGAAACTAACTCTGAGAATACCTTTTTCATTAACCAAACTCATCTCATGACTACAAGGCTTGCGTGCCATTGGAGATATATTAATCGATCAAAGTGGAAGGAAAAACAAAACGTTTTAGTCCATTTTAAGACCTGACAAACTTACGAAAGTAATGGTAATTTTCGTCACCACCTAGACAATTTGTAACTTGAAAACACTGTCAGAGAACATTGTTATAATTTATTAAACTGTCAATGATGATCTAGGATATTATTTTTTATAATATTTTGAATAAAATTCAAAGGGGTAAAAAATAGAGAATTAGGGACATGTCTGTACTTAGACTTATTGTAACAACAACAAAGTCTACCATTTGAGCCAATCAATCACGACAATAGCAGTTATTTGAATAATTACAACTTACTGATAGTGAACACATCTTTTATGATAGTCTGTTGCATAAAGGCTGGTTAACCTCCATGGTTAAACTCCACGCTTCTTTGTTTAAAAATGTATATGCAAACTGAGATGCAAGAACTAGTCTGCTACGTTAGGAGAAATAATGACGCCAAACGCTGTAGAAAGTATTTTAAACAGTCTTTGTACCACTTGGAGTTTACATATATTAGTTGTTCAGCTTGTTTCTTACTGGGAATAATTGCTGCCTTAGCTATCTTTACTAGTATTAAAATACTTGTGTTGGCCATGGAGAAAAACATCGTAAGCAAAATTTGATCTTATTTCGACTTTCTACATTCATTTTGATGAAAATTGTAAAACACTTAACCTATAATCGCGATAATATACGTTGAAACAGGTTATAAGTATACTGTATACAATAACATAAACATAAAAAAATGCCGATTAAGCGATTACGATGGCAGTCTCTTTCCCACACACTAAAATGCGCATAAAATAAATGTATTTCATGACAGCAGTCTATCCAAACCAAACACAAATTTAATGAGAATGGACAAGGTCAGTCCAAAATTGTTTCATCGTGGAAATTGCTGGTAACACCATTAAACTACTAAATCAAATAAAAAGACATTTACGATGCATCGGAGTCCTGTTACTTCCGAGCCTCATTGAACAACACTTTTAATTTAATCAGTATTCCTATTTCATTTTCCTTCACAAGCTAATCCAGGTAACATAGTCTCTTCAGGTACTTCATTTAAGACTATCGAGTGGCCTCCACACCTTCAATTAAATTGTAGTAGTATCACAAGAGCTGTTTTAAAACTAATCACATTATAACTGGGTCCATAAGCAGATTGGATTCAATCTCCTTTAACGTTATACAATTATTAGAGCCTTAAATCTCACTTCCATGTGTTTTGTAAGCAAAATATGGTGAAATACAAAAATATAAGTTGATTTACTTATATTTTAAATTACTGGCCAAACACAGTGTTATTTATATGATTGAAAAAGGTCAATTTTATCACGTCTCACAAGTTTGTTTCAGAATTTTCGCAAAGATAAACAAAGGGCTATCTGCGCGTAGCCGTCCATAATTTTGAGCTGATCAACTAAAGGGAGGGCAGCTAGTCAATATCACCCACCGCCAACTCTTGGACTACTTCTGTTTGGTCTGACCGAATAGTGAAATTTAACAGCCACTTTTATGATGCATCCACGGCCCAAAAGTGAGAAGAGCGTTTTCGCGGCAACGAGCCGCGAACCATGAACCCTAGGCCCGTTTAATTAGTTCTAATCATTTTTATCTGTCAGATGTTTGTGATATATAAACATCCCAATAGTTCGATGGACTTTAATTCAATTAGAATGTCTCACGTATTTGCTAAACGAAACTTACCGGTAGTCCTGTTGCTGTTATATGTAATGCCTATAGTTTTTATCTGTAGGACTTCATGTGTGTGTGTGTGTGTGTGTGTGTGTCTCTGTCTGTTTATTATAATTTGATGTTTGTCTTCATTACACAACCCAAGTCACGCTGTCGCTATGGGAGCTAATCATCATGTAACGCGTACTGTGTATTATTTATTTAGAAAATGGCCAGTGAGTGGCAGAATTAATCATCACCACTATGTAGCCATAGCGACATGACGTTGGATGTCACTTTCAGTTATCAAAGCCTAGATTAGGATAAGGCATGGCCCGATGAAGGTTACGCACAATGAGAGTTATTATAACTGGTCAAGACATTAAATGTATGACCAGTGGTGTACTATAGAAGTATATGTTAAGAATAAACTCTCTACAATTAAATGTTCCCATTTGTTGTAATATTCCTAATCTTGGCTCTTACGTATTGTAACTGTGTGATAGAATATTCCGCAGTGTGGTGTAGTTTTAGACATTCTAGCATAACGTTTGTTT